TGACAGACTCCTCTGTGAAGCTTTTCTAGTCTCTTCCCCCCCAATCTGGGTGGGCTCTCACAGAAGAGAGGCCTAAATTGTTCACAGTTGCTTTAGGGAGGATTTATCTGGGTACAGATATCGACTATCATCTTGACAGAGGGAAATACCATGGGAAGAATCTAGCTTCTCTTGCCCCCTAGTTCAGTAGTTGCACTTCTAGGCACCATCTCTTCTATGCTCTTTGGCCAGGATCTCTCTCATCTAGGCTCTATTTCAGGAATCAGAAGGGAATGACCCTGGCCCTTATAAGTATACTGGTCAACGGAGGCAAGAATCTGTGTATCAGAAGCATTGGGGGGAGGAGGGAAAATGTATATTGGCACATGTAACTTTTTACCATTATTGCTAATATCTCATGTTTTCTTGCTTCTCACTAAGAAATGCCTTTTGGGGGGGGATGGTGTTGCCATGCATGCAGGTAGTTCGTAGAAGTAGCGATGAAGAAAAGCTGCTTTGCTTGGTGCGGGAACGAGCTGGCCATACTTGTGAAACCGCAGTGATAGTGATCCTTATCCTGGTATGGGAGGGGATTTCCCTGAGTCTGGCAGACAAGCTGTATTCTGAACTCACCGACACTCTAAGGAAGTACGGCACACTCACAAACCGACGGTGCGCCCTGAATGAAGAGTAAGTGAAACAAATCATATTCGCTTTTCCCTTGTATATGCAATCAAGCAACAGAAAGCTGATCTACACAAGTCGTGTATCTGATTTTCCTTTCACTGGGTTTACACTGGTTCACTATTAACTTCACTGGTGTTACTCTTGATTTAGACTGGTATACGTGACAGCCTGACAGGGATCATTACTTCATTGGGAATTGTAGTTGCCCTTGTCCAATAGAGAGCAAAATTTGACTCACAAAAGTTTAGGTTCATGGAAGTTCACAAAAAGAATTAGCTGTGTGATTTCTAAGTTGTGTGGCTATGGTTTTTCATTCTCCCCTTACCTACAAAAAAGTTAGAGACCTGAGCACAAATTCAAAGCTTCATCTAAACAGAGAAGCACTTTAAAAAAGCATAGTGGATAGCAAAATCTTGATAGTCTGTAAAAAATATTTAATGATTTTAAAATCTTTGAATTAACTATTTTACAGACAGGAAATTGTACATCTTGCTCTTTCTCCCTTTGATGGCTATACACAGGAAGAAATTCTATTCACAACAAGACTGACTTTATTACCAATATTCTGTTTTCTCTTTTTGGTAGTCTGGGCATGGATGGCTTTGTTTCAGAAGCTTAATCCTATTTTAGCTGGCAAACAGCAGTGAGTTAACTAGTTTATCCTAGAAAGTCAAAAGACCACTTATTCGACAAAGCTTTATCGTACAGAGCCAAAAGCTGAGCCAGAATAGTCAAGCACAGAATGCCAAAAAAAGAAGCAGAAATCCTGAACTGATGATGGGGAAATAAGGAGAAATGCCACACAAAAGAACTCTAGCCCCAAGTACATGAACACGTGCATTTCTGACATATATTGCCTGACTTTTCAAGCATGCAGACTTTTATCTACGCATAATTCTACATGCTGTTGATAGCACATAAATGGTTCTTTTCTTCCTTAGACGGACTTGTGCATGTCAAGGGCTAGACCCTGAGACTTGTGGTGCTTCTTTTTCCTTTGGTTGCTCCTGGAGTATGTACTACAACGGGTGCAAGTTTGCCAGAAGCAAGGTCCCAAGGAAGTTTAAGCTGCTGGGAGATGATCCAAAAGAGGTTGGTGTTACTTTTAAAGTGAGGTTCGCCTTGTTGTACAAAACGTTTCTGTGGTTCTTGAGGAGTTGAGATACAGTAGAAATGGGCAGAATCTCATGAATTCCACCCACATTGGGAAATTAAGGAGGTATCAGTCAAAATTGACTTACCCCAGTCCTTGAGTCAGCTTAATTGACTGCCTAAATGCTGGCAGCAGGTCAAAACCATGAGACATAAAACCACATGTGCAGGTTTTATGAAAGAGCAAGAAAGGGCACAGCCTGAACACTTGTGGCTACACCGGGCCTACAGACAAACTTCGCCCAGGCAGCTTCCACAAAGGCAGAATAGAGGATGTTCTAGGTTAAGGAATATAACTTTTGTAGCGTCAAGGTGGAGTAAATTGCAAGGAGCTAGTATGAGGGAGCTGCAAGATATAGTAGGAGTGAAGGAATGAAAGAACTGGGAGGACTCATTCAGTTGAATGATGCTACCTTGCCAAGAGTGTAGGAAAGTTTTCCAGAGTGGCCTGTAAAATACAGTAAGTGCGGGACCCAGAACTGTGTGCTGATCATATTAAAGTATATCATGGAGCACAGCAGCTGTGCAGGAAGCTAGGGAACAAGTTAACTTTGAAGTTCTGACTCCAGTGGATTCTAGATACCACCTAATTGTTAATGAGCTGCCTTTCTGAGGAGGGTTCTACTCTTTCATTGCCTGGCTTCTTTTCTGGCACATTTAAGAGGAAATGTGTCCCCTACAATGGGACTTATCTTATGGTCCATCCATCAGCAGACACTAAACATAGGGGACAATTTATACAAATCCCATAATACTTAGCATTTCATACACGTAGTCAGTGACTCATGTAATTAGAGAGCTGATCAAACTTTTTGGATTCTCAAAATTGTAATGAAAAAAGCAAGAATTATTATAACATTTTTCATTGATTTTTTTGGCCTTCTTTCAACCCGCTGCTCATGTGACATGTTTGTACTTTGCACTATATCTAGCAGGCATTATGTGGATTGTGGATTATGTTAGCACACTTTGTACTCTATTAATAATGTTAGCATGACTTAGATAGTTGTAACTTTTAACTCTCTTTTCCCCTCTGTAATAAAAAAGGTATGGTAGATGATACCACAACAAAGAAAGCATGATACATACTACACATGGGATCTACACAAAGACTCAAAGAAGTGACATCTTATGGGTTGTAACTTGTAGGTTGGAAAGGAAAGCAACATAATGGTTTAATAGCAACTAAAGAAAGGGACACAGCGAAAGGTTTTGATAATGTTATACTGTGATTTTGGTTTCTTGTGACCAGACCTCAAGTTGAAACTAGCAGGTGAAAAATTTTAACCAAATTAGCGCATACCAAAACTGATGGATTTTTCACAGCTCTGCACCTGCTTTCAACATACGAACTCCTAAAAATGATTACATTTCTTTGTATAAAAACTTCTGCTCTTTCTAAACATTTGGAATGAGACCTGTATTTTTAATTTAAAAAACAGATCTGAAATTAGGATTCTGGGCATGAGAAAATAATGAAGCAACTTAAATTTATTACAGCACTTCATCTTTTTAAGAGCCTTTCATTTTGAAAGATTGCACCACTCTTAAAAATAAAAAATAAGTAGTCGTATCCCAAATTGCTCTGCATTAACCACACCCACAATTCTTGATTGCTAAAAAAACTGTCCTTTTTTTTTTTCAAAGTCTGAAGTATTCCAATAATTTTAAATTGCTACATGGAGAGATAATTTCAGTGCATAAAGTGCTATGATTTCAGTATGTAAAACTCTCAAATTAGATGGATTAAATACGATATTGATTGAGCATTCAGGGGTGATTTTTACTCATGTTTTTCTCCTCAAGGTTTTTAAAACAAAGAATATATTTATTTAAAAAAATGTAGTAACTTGCCATATCATGTCTGGGTTTAACCTCTGTATAGTACATTCCCCCAACCCTCTGCCCCCCATTCCTGTCCCCCTACTCCACATACCCAAACCCTCTGCCCCCTCCTGAACCCATCACCTCTCCTGGATCCTGCACCCCAATTCTCTGCCCCAGATCACAGCCCACTCCTGCTTTAGGTCACAACCCAAACCCCTGCACCTCCTCCTGCACCCCAATCCCCTGCCCTATGTCACATCCCCTTCCTGTCCTAGGTCACAACCCAAACCCCTGTAATCCCTCCTGCATCTCAATCCCTCACCCCAGATCACAACCCCTTCCTGTCCTAGGTCACAACCCAAACCCTGCACATCCTCCTGCACCCCAGTCTCATGCCCCAGGTCATAACTGCCTCCTTTATCCATACTCCCTCCCAAACCCCACACACCCTGCTGTACCTCAGTCCCTTATCCCAATCTTCCTTCTGCACTCAGCCTCCATCCCAGACCCCACACCTCCTCCATTAATATCATGGAAGAGTGCAGCCCTTGACCACTTTCCAAAATCTTGGAGTGGCCCCCCATAAAAAAAATATTGCCCACTCCTGTAGTTGCTTCCTCATAAGGACCATAAAAGTTCAGGTTTCTGGACATAGGTTGGGCTTATAAAAACTGCAAAGGGGATGACAGATTTATGGGATCTGTTTTCTCATCAATTGCAAGGAATTTATAATGTAAATTAGGATTTTTATGCCAGTCATGTCTATGGTATCATAGTGTCCAGCAGCTTCTACAAATGGTAGATTCCATGTAAAGTAATAGGGCGATTAGATGCTAATATAATAAAATTCTTTCCTCTGATGACAGGAAGAAAAGCTAGAGTCCAATTTGCAAAGCCTATCAACTCTAATGGCACCTACCTACAAGAAACTTGCACCAGATGCATATAACAACCAGGTAGGTCTGAAAGAGTTGGCAAAGTCACTAAAATGTTCTTTGCTATAAGTAATTGTTTACTGTTTGTGCCAATATTCCTCTTACATTAGACTAAACCCTCTCAAAGTAGAAATACTAATTTCAGTGAAACGTCTTTCAAGAGTGTCTGGCCCTGTATGACAGCTAATGGCTGCTGCTGCCTAAATATATCAATAGCATCTAGGACTCTAGAAAATGCTTTGCTCCTATGATTCATAAGGACCTTAAGGTTTCCAGATTCAGCATTATTCATTGTCAAGGCTGACACATGTCTGATTTCCTTGATTTGCTACAATCCAAATCTATCTCTGTATGTTTGGTTCCAGATAGGGCTGCCAACCCTCTTGGTTTAAGTGCAGGCTGGGTGACGGGGCAGCTCCATCCTTTCCACCTGAGGCCCCACCCCTTCCAGTAGCCTGAATCTGAGCCCCTCCCAGCCTTGTCCAGAGCAGCACGTCTACCCTCCTGCACCCAAACTCCCTCCAAGAGCCTCCTCATCCTCTGCCCCAGGCTCAGTTCAGAGCCATTCTCAGAGACTCCAAGCCCCTCAGCCCCAGCCCAATGAAAGTGAGCGAAGGTGAGGGAGAGTGAGCAACAGAGGGAGAGGGGATGGAGTGAGGCCTTGGAGAAGAGGCGGGACAGGAACGTGGCCTTGGGAAGGGGGCAAGGCAACTCTAGTTTCAGGGCAAATCTATTAGCTTTGTGCTAGCCTTGAACCAGAATCCTCACCTCACTCTAATCCAGATTTGAATTCAAACACTGTGTTTTGTTTCAGATTGCACAGGTTCACATCTTTCAAACCTGGCTTTGATTTTCAGATTCGAATGAAATAAATCTCTCAAATTAAAAATTAAAATAATCACCAAACTAGCCAGGTTCTTCCTGGTGTGGAATCCACACCTCAAATTTCACATTTTAACATCACCCCCTAAATTAACTCAAAATTGAGCCCATGTTCACCTGAAAAGTTCACGAATCCTTGCGAAGCTTTTGACAAATGTGGTCCAAATTCTAACTTTCTAATAAAACATGACACCAAGAATTGTGTGTGACTTGTGGTTTCATTGTGAACATTTCACAAAATTAGTAATAAAAACATCATAGAATATATTGTGCTGATGATCAGATATTTATTTTTGAGCACTATCATGCTTGCTTTTATATCAAAGATAGTGAAAGACTGTAATTTCTTGGCACAATGACAATCTAATGGTCAAATTCTGCAATGACTTCTTCTCCATACAGCTTATCGGAAGTCAGGTTTCCAAGGAACTGCAGTCTTCCTAAGTAGTTCAATATGTCTGAGCCTGTGTTTATAACTTAACAACATGCCAGATATTCAAACTATACACTGTATTTTATCATCTGAAGAAACTGGCTAATGGCAGGAAATTGAAAACTAATATTGAAGGAGAAATATTGTCAGCTAAATGCACAAATATGATAATGGCAGAAGCATGGAGCATGAACTACGGAAGGCAAAATGGAACTGAGTAGCAAGAAAAGAAAGAGGAGCTTGTATTCCCATTTTTATTACCGTAAAGGTAATTTTCTTGGAATTGTTCATCTCTAAGAACTATACTCTGCTATTGCCAAGAAATTAGGAAGCTAACATGCTCCAAAGTGATGGGATATTCCGTAATAATTCCATGTAATGGGCTGTCCAGATAAGTTTCAGTGATACTTGACTTTTGTTTCCAGATTGAGTATGAACACAGAGCGCCAGAATGCCGTCTTGGTTTAAAAGAAGGTCGTCCATTCTCAGGGGTCACTGCCTGCCTGGATTTTTGTGCTCATGCTCACAGAGACTTGCACAATATGCAGAATGGGAGTACATTGGTAAGTCACTGCTGAATAAAGCTGCCTTCTTTCAGCACTGATTTCTCATATTTAATTCATTATCTATATTTCTATTAAGTTTGCACATAATGTGAACTGCTAAAATAAGAGACATTCAGCAGTAGCTGAAGCTAAAATGTGAAATCCCTACAGGATTTTTCATTTTAAAGGAGACTTTAGAGAAAGAGCTAAAATAGATTTGGCTGGAAAGCATCAGAGGAACTGCTTTCCACTTGAAAACGTAGTTCCACTGAAATTGCAATAGTTCATAAAATCATGTTCATTTTGCCAAAACTCCATTTAGGAGAAAAATGGAGGGAATTTACAACTTCCCATGTTGATATTTTTAGAGTGAAATATTTTGATTTTTCCTTTCAAATGACTTTTCATTTTGAAATTTTAAAATGTGTTAAATTACAAACTTTAACTTTATTTCATATCTGCTATATATTTGAGAGCGTTTGTGTGTCTCTGTCTGTCTGTCCGCTCATCTGTCTGTGAGTCTGTGTGTTCAAGAACGCCTCCTAAACGGTAAAAGCTAGGACCACCACATTTGGTATGCAGTTTCCTCTTATCATATCTTAAAGCAAGGTAAGGGTTTTATTGTACCAAGACAATGGGATGTGCCTGGAATCAATTGTTTCTCTTAAAACAGAAAGGGAGGGGGGGTCTTCTAGAAGGGACAGTCGTGTTGTATAATGACCATGAGGGGCAGCAAGGGTCCAAAGATGGGAACTGGGGCAGCTATAACCCGCTTGAAGCAACAGAGGATGGGGTGGAAAAAGGGACAGTTCTCTACTATGTATTTGAAAGAGTTTGTCATTTTGTGTGTCAGTCTGTCCCACCATTCACCCCTCCCCCTGGTGTGCCCACTGCAGCTGCAGCAGCCATGGACAGGCGCTTCTCACCTGGCCCCAAGCTGCTGCAGTGAGAGAGGGCTGGGGTTGTCCTCTATCCCCACAGCAGCCTTAATACTGAACCCCTCATCCCCAACCCCACTCCAGAACAATGATTTAAAGAACAACAACAATTATTTCAGTTGAGTCTCGAACAATGCTGGGTAACCCTCTAATTATATTATAACTGAAATATTTTGAGCTAGAAAGATTTTTTTCCCTCAAATTTTTTTTGCAGAAAATTCAAAATTTTCATTGCAAACGAGAACACCACCACATGTCAAAACACTCTCAAACATCTTTTCTATTCTTTCGTCAGAATTCAATAAATCCGTTGCTCTTGTCCACCAAACTCCGCTGCTCTCCAGAATTTGACCCTGTAAAAAAATATATGGGCAAGACTAGCTGATTAAGAAAGTTTATGGGTTATTTCTATCTACTGCACGCTGTCAAGGACAATGTGCAACAACAAAAAATCATGACTAGCCTACAATAATTGGAAGTAACTGCATTAGTACCTGTAAGCAGGTGACCTTCTCACCGTGGTCTGAGCAGAACATCCAACTGTTTTACAAAATCTAAACTCACTCCCTTCCTGGGGCTTGACTTTCTTCAAAAGAACATTAACAAAATACACACCTCCATCTGAGTTTCCTCCCCAAGACTGGCTGATCTTATGATTTTCCTGCAGATCTTTCTATTTTGTTGCTTCTCGTTTTCTTAGACAGATTCCTCCAACACCTCTTGTATCCAGGATGGAGTTCACAAGAGGTGCCTACTGCTACATCTCTGCAGCAGTTCCTTTAATCTGTATATGGCGATGAATCATCTAATCTGGGGTTGACTTAGCAAAGGAGTCCTTCATTCCCATGCAAGGCCCTAGAGTCTGCCGTCTTGCTGGCTGTAGCAGTCCAGGGATCTTTGCATTTCAGTTCCCATCATTAGCCAAGGAATTCACTTAACTTTTGAGAACACATGGCTACCCTGCTTAGTTCCAGGTGCTATATGGAATGTGAACAAAATACACATTACATAAAGGGTTGCTTAATATTGCCAAACATGGAAAAGGTGGAGGGAAGGAGTGAGGGAAGGGGCAGGCTTGAGTGCTGAATCAAGAAGCAAAAAAGAAGTTAAGTCTTAGCAAACAACTTTACAAAATAAAAAGGGTCAGCATTCAGTGGGTATCTACATTGGATGCTCTATTTGGCATTACATCTGTTACATCAAGAGCCTTGCAACCTGATGTTATTGGCCAACTGTCTGCCCTTAAAGAGTTATCTGAACTGACAGCTTAATGTAAAATAAGCCGAAACTCCAGAGTGTGCTATTATTCTCACACTGACTTGAGATTGTTTTTCTACCATCCCTTTCGGACAGGTGTGCACACTCACCAGAGAAGACAATCGTGAAATTGGCCAGATGCCAGAAGATGAACAGCTGCATGTACTCCCATTGTACAAAGTCTCTAATGTGGATGAGTTTGGAAGTAGTGAAGGCCAGGAAGAGAAAAAGAAGAATGGCAGCATCCAAGTCCTCAGCTCCTTTAGGCGCAAAGTAAGGATGCTGGCAGAACCTGTTAAGACATGCAGGCAAAAGAAGTTAGAAGCCAAGAAAGCGGCAGCAGAAAAGCTTTCATCCTCGGAGAATAGCTCTAGCAAAGCTGAAAAAGACAAATCTGCAGGGGCACGCCACAAACAAGCCAGCTCGGAGGCTGCAAGTCATGCAAAACAGTTAGCAGGTAAATGCAACTCTCTTCTATTAGTCAGTATACTCCAAATTTTCCCATTATCACATTGCTAGAAACTTTGAAAACAAGAAGGATTTAGTCCACTGAATTGCTACAGGAAGAAGGCAACCTAGTGGCAGATGATGTGGGAAAAGCTAAAGTACTCATTGCTTTTTTACCTCTGTTTTTACAGACAAGTTCAGCTCCCAGACTGCTACAATGGGCAGCATAGTATGGGGAAGAGATGAGCAGGTTAGGGACTATTTAAAAAAGCTGGACATGCACAAGTCCATGGGGCCACATGCAATGCATCCAAGAGTGCTGAGAGAGTTGGCTGATGTGATTGCAGAGCCATTGTCCTATCTTTGAAAATCTGTGGCAGTTGGGGGTGGTTCTGGATGGGTAAAAGAAGGCAAATACTAAAAAAAGGGAAGAAGGAGAATCCAAGGAACTACAAACAAGTCAGCCTCACCTCAGTCCCAGAGCAGGTCCTCAAGGATTCCATTTTGAAACACTCTGAGGGGAGGAAGGTGATCAGGCACAGACAACATGGGCAAGTCATGCCTGACAAATCTAAATGCCTTCTATGATGAGATAACTGGCTCTGTGGATATGGGGAAAGCAATGGATGTGATACACCTTGACTTTAGCAAAGCTTTTGATACAATCTCCCAAAGTATTCTTGCCAGCAAGTTAAAGGATTGATTGGATAAATAAGGTGAATAGAAAGCTGGCTAAATCATCAAACTCAACAGGTCATGATCAATGGCTTGATGTCCAGTTGGCACCTGGTATAAAGAAGAGTGCCCCAGAGGTTGGTCCTGGGGTCAGTTTTGTTCAATTTCTTCATTAATGATCTGGATGAGGGAGTGGATTGTTCCCTCAGCAAGCTTACAGATGACACTAAGCTGGGGGGAGAGGTAAATAAACTGGAGGGTAGGGATAGGGCCCAAAGTGACCTAGACAAATTGGAGGATTGGGCCAAAAGAAATCAGATGAGGTTCAACAAGATCAAGCCGAGATTCCTGCACTTAGGGCAGAAGAATCCCATGCACTGCTACAGGCTGGGGACTGATTGGCTAAGCAGCAACTTTGCAGAAAAGAACCTGGGGATCACAGTGGAGATGAAGTTGGATATGAGTCAACAGCGTGCCTTTGTTGCCAAAAAGGCTAATGGCATATTGGGCTGCACTGGAGCCAACAGCTGGAAGGAAGTATTATTCCCCTCTGTTTGGCACTGGTGAGATCACATCTGGAGTATCGCATCCAATTTTGAAGAAGTCCAGTGGAGAGCAATGAAAATGACCATTGGGCTGGGGCACACAACTTATTAGGAGAGCCTGTGGAAACTGCAGAAGAGAAGAGTAAGAGGGGCCTTCAACTACTTCTTCCAAAGAAGATAGAGCTAGACTGTTCTCAGTGGTGGCAAGTGACAGAACAAGGAAGAATGGTCACAAGTAGCAGAGGTCTAGGGTGGATAATAGGAAAAACTATTTCACTAAGAGGGTGGTGAAGCACTCAAATGGGTTACCTAAGAAGAGGTTTTTAAGGCTTAGCTTATCAAAGCCTGGGCTGGAATGATACATTTAGGGTTGGTCCTGCTTCGAGCAAGGGATTGATCTAGATGACCTCCTGAGGTCTCCCTAATTTTCTATTATTCTCTTATTCTAACTGTAAAAGGAAAATTATCTGTGGTTCTCGAAAGAGATTCTTCTCTTTATATAGGTAGAAAATGTAATGGAAATTGCTTTGGTGTTTTATCTAAAGTCAATGTAAAATTATTTTTTTTCTTTTCACATCTACAGATCTTTTACGTCTTTCAGGACCAGCCCCGCTACAACAGCAGCAACATCAACAACGTACTCGCACTAACAGCCCTCAGTCAAATCCTATAAACTCTTACACTGGTTCAAGTCCTGCAAATCTTTATATGAGGCTGCCTAATACAGCTAATGCTTATCCAAGCTCTTCATATACTTCAGATCTCTATGGAGGGTCCAACACCATGAACCTTTATACAACCTCATCACAGCCTGCAGGGTCTTATTTGAATTCTTCCAATCCTATGAACCCTTATTCAGGATCATTAAGTCAAAATAACCAATATCCACCTTACCAATGCAATGGAAACATGCCAATGGACAACTGCCCCTCCTACTTGGGTTCTTACCCTTCACAACCTCAACACTTGGACTTGTATAGGTATCAGAGCCAAGACCCTTTATCTAAATTAAGTCTGCCACCCATTCATACACTATACCAGCATAGATTTGGGAATAACCAGAGTTTTGGTCCCAAGTACTTGAATTATGGAAACCAAAATATGCAGGTAGACTCTTTCAATAATTGCACCAGTAGACCAAATGTACATCATACAGGGTCTTTTTCCCCTTACTCCACCCACGAGGCTGACAGCCACTTTATGGATGTTGCCTCCAGATTAAAATCTAATTTTACTAATCCAAGTGTGAACTATACTTCCATAAATAAAAATGGTGAACCTCACCTACACCCACCTTCACATTTAGCACATGATTACCACTCAGCTTCAAATATATTCAGTGGTCCTCCTCATTCACTACATCTCCAAAATAAGGATAGTGAAATGACTTCACACATAGCTAATGGGTTGTCTAATATGCTTCCAGGTCTTAACCATGATAGGACTATTCCTCAACATGGTTTAAATAAAAGTGATAGTCTGAATCCAGAAAAAGCAGAGGATCCCGAAGATGTCTGGTCAGATAGCGAGCACAGCTTTCTGGATCCAGATATTGGAGGAGTGGCAGTTGCTCCATCTCATGGGTCAATTCTCATTGAATGCGCAAAACGTGAGCTCCATGCAACGACCCCCTTGAAAAATCCCAACAGGAACCATCCTACCAGGATATCACTTGTCTTCTATCAACACAAGAGTATGAATGAGCCAAAACATGGTCTGGCTCTGTGGGAGGCAAAGATGGCTGAGAAGGCAAGAGAAAAAGAAGAGGAGTGTGAAAAATACGGTCCTGACTACGTGCCTCAAAAATCATATGGCAAAAAATCAAAGCGGGAGCCTATTGAATCACACGAACCCTCAGAACCAACATATATGCGCTTTGTCAAGTCTCTTGCACAAAGGACTATGTCAGTCACCACAAATTCCACAGTAACTACATCTCCATATGCCTTTACACGGGTTACAGGGCCTTACAACAGATATATATAACTTCATACATTTTTTGGAAATCATATGGCAAAAAATCAAAGCGGGAGCCTATTGAATCACACGAACCCTCAGAACCAACATATATGCGCTTTGTCAAGTCTCTTGCACAAAGGACTATGTCAGTCACCACAAATTCCACAGTAACTACATCTCCATATGCCTTTACACGGGTTACAGGGCCTTACAACAGATATATATAACTTCATACATTTTTTGGTTACCTCATTTTAAAAAACAACTTGTCGACAGAATAGTCATTTAGGTTGCGGGGG